AATATCATGAATAATAATTATAATAATAATAATAATAATAATAATATCATCATAAATTAAATAATTATAAATTATAACAATTATAATCATGTTAAAGCATAGCAAGATCCTAGGCATGATACTAACAAGATTACTAACAAACCCTAGCATGTCACTAAACAATAAAAATCAAATCTTTAGCCCTAACATGATACTAACAATCATAAATATTAGGAAGAATATAGGAAGCATCATACTTTTAATCATACTTGATATTAAAATTACCCTAGACATGATATTAGGAATATCATAATAACAATCTAAGCATGATTTCTACATCATAATATCAATTAAACCATTAAAGTACTTACTTGGATGCCTCGTACCTCTTTCTAATAAAAAAATACACACGTTAGTAACTTCAAGGAAAATAATAAACAAAGCAATTAAATTAAATAATTGAAAGAGAGATTTGGGACCAAACCCTCAGAAATTAAAACCTTTCACGTCTAGGGCGAAGGCAACTTCGAATATGGCTAAGTGTATCAAGATCTAATGAATGCGGAATTATTTATTTGAGAAAAGGCTAGTTTAGAAAAAGGGAGAGAGAGAGAATAATCAAGAAAATCTTGATGAGAGTTGGTGATTGATTAAGAGGAGATATGACCTCTATTTATAGGAAAAAAGAGAGTCGAAGAATTAAGAAAAGAATCCAAATTCGAATCGAAATAAAACTCGTAGACAGCAGTTTTTGCGGATTTTGTTTTTATCATATCTTTTGATCCAGAAATCAGAATAAGATCAATAAGATGTCGTTGGAAAGATCTTGAATTCTACTTTCTAACCCAATTAGAATCAGATTAAAATATATTGTAGAATAAAATATATGAACAAAATAGTGAGACGGTGTCAGTTTTGGATAGAGTTTGATATCTTATTCATATCTTTTTCGTTATAGCTCGGAATTATTATTATAATATATCATTGGAAAGATAATTTCAAGATCTATCCAACCATATAAAATTTGGATATAAAATATGAGGCAAGAAAATAATATCTGACTGTCTTTGAACATGTTTAAATCCGAATAGAATTAGGACTTTAAAAAAGGAAAGTTTTATAAAAAAAAAAAAGGAAAGTTTATATTTAAATCAAATTCCTTAATATTATCTTATCAGAAAAGGATAATTAAGATATTTTAGAAACTTATAGAAGATTCTAATCAATCCTAATTAGTTTAGGAATAGGATTAAACCTTTGAACCCTCCTCATGATCATTGGGTCGTAGGTAAAATCCGGTTTGGACCCAGTTTAGTATTTTGGCCATAACTTCCTCATTATTCATCGGAATTGGGCTTATAATATATCGTTGGAGAGGTCTTTGCAAGCCCCATCTAACTACACCATTATTGGACCCTTATCATGGTCCAAACTAAACTGGAATGGACGTTTTCATAAAATAGAGTGGGTTTTCGAAAACAGAAAGAAGAGAAAAGAAAATAAAAGTTTTCCGCAACACTAGACTTTTCCACACTTTCGTTTCATTCGATTATGATTCGACGTGAAAGGTACTCATCACCGGGTTTGGTTTTGGGGAGACACAAATGGGTGTCTACAACAACTGTAATAAAAATGCATTCATATTCACATTCACACACCATGATCATATCAAGGGATCTCCTATGCTCATCCCTATTTATTTAAATCTAGACTTGGGGGCTTGATCCCTACATCATTAGCTTACCTAGGCTAAGAGTCACTACCATTTGACTCTTTTCAATATATTTTCCCACACACTTAGCCCTTGCAGCCTAACTTTAGTGTCACTATCACACACATCACAAATACATGACCAAATATACTTCCCTTAGGAACCCTTTTTCATGGAATCTGAACACAACGTTGAAGCATGCCTTGTCATATCAACATCATTCATCAATCATAATTGTCATTGCATCACGAAGTATGAAGTGCTTAGCCTCCGTGCCTAAGTTACCCAAATACTTTCATCATTGAGTCAACCATTGATATAGCCTAGGATGGATTAACCCTTGCACCTTGAGAGATAGTATCAAACAACATTTGACTAAGCTCATTCAACATGCATTCGAAAACTTCGATTCTTTTTTCGCGTCTTTATTTTTCGGGAGAAAGTCGGTAACCTCCACAAAAATGACGGAAATTTTTTGCTTTTTTGCATTTTCAGGTCGCACAATCACATTACAATGCACACACGAGCCATGTACACATTGAGTCATGTCGTGTCATATCACCTTGATTTGAGTCTACCACATGCGTCAAACACTTCGAGTCGAGTCAACCTCGAGTCAGTCAATCACAGAGAGTCAAGTTTATATCTTGAGTTGTGTCAAGTCGATGAGTCAAGCGACGTTAAACCTTAGGTCAACCCTAAGATAACTAAAGAGAATAGCAAAGTTCTATAGTAAAAAATAAATACAGGTGCAGCAGAATAGGGAAGACCCTACTTCAGCGCCGGACGACAACATCTAGCGTATGGAAATAGATTTCAGCGCTTGGCGCTAGATCCCAGTGTCTAGCGACAGAGTCAATTCTTGGCGCCAGAGATATTTCAGCAGCGACAGAGCTCGAAGCCTCTCAGAAGGGTGATTTCGACCTCATACAGCAATTTCGGGTTCCTTGGTGCGCCAGTTAGCCCCTATAAGCAATTTGACATGATTAAGTAGTCAGTTTGATTACAATCACAATAAGTGATCGACCTGATGAAAGATCGTCTCACTTAGCTTTGACGAGGGGAAAACTAGGTCGTTATCTAATCTTCCCTCGGTCAAACTAAATTTATAAACACTTAACAAACCTAAATACGAGTATAGAGGCAAGTCAAGGGTCGAACCCAAAGGAACGGTAATGTTCAAGCACTTTCAATTATGCGCCTAAGCTAGGTCAAAATCAAAGGGTAAAGGGAGAATACTAACAACTAACAAAACAAGTAACCAAGGAAATAAAACAATAGAAACGGGGATCAACAAGTAATCATGTCAATTGCAACAACTTGGGAAAAGCATGCCAATCAAAGGTTGTGAGGACTAATGATAAAAGCAATCAATAGGAATCAAAGAGCTATCTCCTAATTGTTAAGCTAGGTTTCACTATGAATAACAAACTAAGAGAATCACAATCAAAACCAATCGATAATTGCAATTCCTAAACCAATTGTTCATGTCATTAGCAATTACAATGCAATCTAGCATAATTCTCAAGGCCTAATTGAATTACACACATGCAAGCTTGATATCATTGCAACACTTCATTGATTTTGAATCTAAGACCTCGAAACATCAAGCTTGAACATTGAAACTCCGAATATGACAATTTGAATTGTGTCTTGTCCCGAGCATTAACCTACACGAACAACCGAAAAAGGAGACAAATAAAATAAAATAAATAAAATGGAAATAAATAAAGTAAAAATAAAAGAAATAAAACTAAATCTATGAATTAAGGACTAAAATAATGAAAAACTAATCAAAACTCAAAATGAGTTATTAAAATGGAAAAACAAGGAAAAATAAGAAAATAATAGAAAAATAAAGAAAGAAAATATAGAAAAAGGACCTAAATCTTATTCTTTTGAGCGCCATAAATGACGCTCATCAAATTCCCCCAAGCTAAACTTTTGCTCGTCCTCGAGCAAAATAAAATCCAACCCAAGGGAAAAATGATGAATTTATTCAAGCAAAGAAAGAAACAAGAAAGATAGAGGATGAGAATATACACTAACTCACTTTCGTAGGAATCACGATCAATTTTAGCAACTAAAGACAAGCCATTTAAACCCCTAGATCGCCCTAAAGGGCGAGTGATGATCTCGTAAAGGTTTCCTAAGAGATTAACCCATAACTCTCATAATAATACAAACATGCAAAGCATAAAGAAGGAAATCAAAAGAAAAGAAGAGCAAACACATGTTCATAAAAGGAATTTTTAAAATGTACAAGCACAAATGAATGCAAATCTTTCTAAATAAGTAAGGGAGTGCACGCTCCAAGATACCTAAGGTTGATTGAAACATAAATATGCTAAGCATAGGAACTAGTTATCACACTCCACTTTCATTCCAAACGGTCTTACCGCGTTCCCCCTACTAATCTCATATCTCCCCTTAGTGAGCGTCTCATAGAACCGGAAAAAGATCAAATTTTTGGCTTACTCGACATCTTGACTTCGCATCCCCTTTCCTTAGGTTATAACCCATGATTCCCTCCACCAATGAATGACTCAACCCGTAGGTCAAAAGGTCTTCCCAAAGGTTGTAACGTAAGGCAAAAAGGGTTAAGGTAGGCTAAATTTAAAATTTGGTGGTTAACCTAAATTGTGAAGCAAAGATTGCGCATTTCTTTACACCATAACCAATAATCACCAAACAAAAATACCAACACCCCCAAGCTTATTCAAAGCTAAGATTACAAACATATACACAAAAAGCGTGAGAACGCTTCCCCCCAAGCTTAAATGGAGCATTGTCCTCAATGCTCAAAAAGGAAGAATACTCACATAAAAATATTTTTGCATTTTTCACTTTTTTTTCTTCATATTTCTTTATTAGTGCTTTGTCTTCGCCTCTTTTAACTTTGGACAGCTTTTTCAAATTTGCACTTGCTTTGTCCTTGCCTTTTTTTACTTTGGACGGCTTTTTCATTTATTCACTTGCCATTATTCACAAAATATACACAACACAAACTTGCTTTCAAGAGAACCAAATATCCAAACTCCTCCACCACAAACTCCAACAATAATGAACAATTTCTTCACAAACACTACTACAAAATTTACAAAAAAGATCCCTAATAAAAGACCCGTTATTTATGTAACGGATCTGTTCGATATATGAGATCCTATATTAATGGTAACGGGTCTGTTATGTTTATTAGCACATGATAAGAGGCCTGTTCTAAATCTTAACGGGTGTATTATAAATATTAGGGCCCACAAATTAATTTGGAGAAATAAAGAAGAAGAATGCATAGACCCGTTGTCAATCCTAACAGGTCTCTTATGTGTATTAGGGGTACTTGTTATATACAATTCTCTCTCCTCAAAACCCTAACCTCAGCCCCAAAATCAAAATCCTTTTCTCTTAGAATTTCGCCGTCACTGGTCTCTTCCACTTGTTTCCTCCGTTGATGTTTTTGCTAATATTCAATGGAAGGTACTTGCTCTTCTTCTTTTAGAATAAAAGGTAATTACTCTTCCTCCTCACTTTTTAATATATGGTTCCTGGGAAACTAATATTTGCATTTTTTTTTATAAAAAAATGACTCTATCTCTACTCTTTAAAAAAAAAAATAGCGAATTCCGTTCTTCTTTGGTGTATTTCTTGCATTTCCAATTCTCCAAGCTAGGTACTCAACAAATCTCTAAATTCTTCTACTACTAATTTCTATTATTTCTTTTATGTAATTTATTTTGCATTCACATAATTGAAATTAAAAAAAAAAAGTTTTAGTTTTGCTCAACTGATGATCTAATAGGAAATACTATGCGGTTGATTATCCTTCTTTTAGATCTACATATACTAGAAATTTTGTTTGGTTATTATTCATCAATTTTATGTTAATTGGTAAAATTCTTAATTGACTTTTTTTTATTGTTATTTTTTCAATGTCAGTTGGAGGCTATGAATATCTCATTGATAATTCCGTCGCCGGGGAAATGAGTGATCTTGGAATAGTTAAAAATTGGATCTCGAAACTTTTTCTTGCAGCTTGTATTATTTGGAGCGCTTCACTTTCCTTTCCACCATAAGCATCTGCAACTTCTAACTTATTAGTTTGAGGTGTGTTTCCGATTGCTATTTTTAAAATTGGTTTTGATGATGTTTGCTGCACATACACTCTTGCACCTTATACTTCGTATAATGTATAAACTTTATTGTATCAATGATGAATAAAATGAAAATCATAATTTAGTTTTGATGAATTTTTTTATTTTATTTATAAATTCATATTTATTCATTTTGATACTGGGTTTTTTTTAATGTTATTAAAAAAAAGCAAAAATAATAATTAATGGGTTACGTTGATTTATTTTTTTTAAATAAAATTAATGGGCTAAGAGACCCCATTTCTTAAATGACAGGTCTGAACTGATTAAGCAAAGAGACCCCATTTCTCTAATAAAGGGTCTCTTACCTAGCAATATAACAGACCCCCTATCTTTGATAATGGGTCTCTTACCTAGTAATATAACAGACCCCCACTTATGAGGCGGTCTGAGATAGAGACCCGTTAGAATATGGTCTCTAAGGCATGTTTTGACGGGTCTCTTTGCCTAATTTTGTAGTAGTGAAAAACCAAGAATGGAAACGAAAATGAAACAAAAGGCTCAAGATCTAGAGATGTGGCTTGAAAAGAAGTGAAAAAGGCTTAAAGGGTTAGCAAGTAGGCAAATGTAGACCCAAAAACCGAAGAAAATGAAAACTATCCTAGAAAAGAAAAATTACCACCCCGAAAAGATGTCTTTGTCCTCCCTAGGTGGTTCGGTCTCGGTCTTGGGAACCATAAGTCCAGATTCTAGATTAGGTCCGCAATAGTCAAGGATCCACGCCCCTCATGCAAGTAAATGTTGAAGGCTTGAAAAATAATGAACCTCACACGGATGTAGCCTAAAACTCAATATGGGTGTCAAATCGACTATAGGGAGCAACTACCAATCATACCACAAACTAGTAGAATCCGGCTTCATGATCCCCCTAGTTCTAGACAATTACCTTAGCATGCTTTATCCTAGAATCAACCAAACGTAACCTCAAACCGTGCACAACACTACCATTTAGGAAGAAAAGCATTCAAGTATACAAGTCCAATTGTTATTATGTCCAAAGCAAGAACAAAACAAAACACATTGAAAATTTGCCTTGTTAAAAACAAAAATCTTTTTGGAGTTTTTCAAAATTTGAGAACATGGAAAAGCATATACAAAGGTGCATGACATATATGAATCAACATTCCACCAAACATAATAGAATACCCTCCCCCAAACTTGAATGAGACAACATGATCAAACATAAATCAAATATTCCACGGGAGAGGAAAAACAAGGAGATTAATCCAATCAAACCAACATATGTCCAACAAGTCATCATCCACTAGAGAAAGAGGAAGGAAGGATATTACCGGATATTATGTGGGTGTAAATACCCGCAAATGACCCAATTTTAACCTTTCAAAGCTAACAACCTCTAATATTGAATCTTGCCTTCTATATGCTAGCAAATGTGGTGCCAATCTTCCTTGATTCTCGATCCAAATAGAAGCACCGAAGTATATCAAGTCATGTACCTAGCAAAAGGAACATAAACATTTCCATGAGAGAAAATCTATTCTAAAAAGAAAAGAAAATGAAAGCAATAAAACATGGGTTACTTTCCGAGAAAGGCTTGCTTAAGGTCCAAGCTTGACCGCTCTAGAAAATAATAATTCAACGCACAAAAGCTTGTCAAATGCACTACTACACATTTCATAGGAGAGAAGGTAGACAAATGACGCGAAGAGTACGTGCAACAAGGATAATGTACGTAAATGAGGAGAGAGATGCCAAGAAAAGGAAGAGGAAGAATCAAAAGAAAATTCAACAAAATATGAAGAAAAAGAAAAAGAAGGCAAACTCTTCTCAAAATATTTTTGGGCGGCAACATCACCCTTTTCCTCAATTGGGGACAAATGAGCTTCATACAAATCATCATAGACAAAAGGGTCCCCAATAGGCTCATTGACAAAAGAAGGGAGGGAAATAAGAGTGTAAGGGGATATGGTTGAATCTTCTTGAAAAAGGGGTATGAGAAAAGAGAAAAGAGGCTATGGTCTCACAAATGAACTTTTTCTCACAACCATGCCTCAAATCACCAATAAGAGCATGAAAATCAATCATAGAGTCCTCAAAAGAAGAACACTCATGATATCCATCTCCCTCAAACATCCACCCTCCAAGAGGAACAAGATAATCCCCTCCATCATAACTATGAACAACAACTCCCTCAACAACTTTAAAGCCCAAGGTCTCAAAACCATGCATGAATGGATGCAAATTCATTTCAAACTCATCTCTCTCCCATGAAGCATCCTCAATGAACTCATTTAAAAGGCTATGGGTTTTCTTTTGACTCTCAAAGAATGCATTGGTCATAACCTCAATCGAGTCGAAATACTCATGGATAGAAGAGTCACAAACATGCACATGAGACTCATCAAGATGGGAAAGAGGGTTAGAAATTTCAATATCAACACTCTCTTCATTCTCAACTCCTTCACCATCACTCAAATGCTCACCAATGGGATCCTCACACTCTTATAAATTAATCACAAGATTAAGACAAGATAATTACCTTTGGAGCGTGCTTCGCCCAAACGGAACGAGCTCTTACTTCGAAAGCAAGCCTCGAAAATACGACGGCCTCCTACGATAGTCCACCCACAACCCGACCACCGAAAATGGTCCAATGCCTTGGAGTTAGCAAGGCCCGACCAAAAAACCCGAATGATTAATGAGTTCAAAGGTTTTCACAATGGTGATGCCTTTTTCAACTCTCACTCAAGTGATTTTCCCAATACCCCAACTTGGGTATTTATAGGGAAAATAAGAGAGTGAAAAGCTCTCCCATCAATGTGGGAAACTTTGATTCGTTTTTATTCATATCCGGCTGATTTTCTTTATAAATAGCCTCCTAAAATCTCTGTTTTCGATCATCAACTCTCAACCAAAAACTCTCTAATTCTCTTCTCTCTCTAAGCTAAAGTTTATTTTTCTCTCTCTCTCTTTTTAAAACTAGCTTTTCTCAAACAAAATTCCGCATTTACAAGATATAGACACACCTAGCATAATTCGAAGTTGTCTTCGCCCTAGACGTGAAAGGTTTAAAATCTGAGGGTTTGGTCCCAAATCCCTATTTTAATTATTTAATTTTATTCTTTGATTTTATATTTCCTTGAAATTACTAATGTGTGTATTTTGTTATTAGATTGTTATTTTGATTCCTAGTATCATATTTAGGATGTTTTATTGTTTACTAGTATCATGTTAGGATTCTTTTCTTAGTATGATATTTAAGGTGATTTGCTTATATTAATTACGATTTCTATTATGCTTCCTATTATCTTTCCTAATATTCATGTTAGTATCATGTTAGAGCTAATTGATCTTTAATGTTTAGAGACATGCTAGGGTTTTTTATTAATCTTATTAGTATCATGCATAGGATCTTGTTATTAATATTATGTTTTAACGTGATTATGATAATTATGATTATGATTATTATTGTTGTTATGTTTTTTGATTATATTTATGGTTATTGCTTGATCATGCCTTTTATGCATGTTTAAAGGGAATTGCTACATGTAATCACGCTTAATAAGATAATTAATAATCTTGTTTAGGGTTAATTTGATTATAATTCAAGTCATCTCCAATAATAGACTTATTTGTGCATTAATATTCAACCAACAAAGATTAAACAGGTTTAGGGTTAACCTATTGATTGCATGTTAGTCAGAAAGCGCACATGAATACGAGAAGAATAAAGTAGAGGCCTAATATTAGGGCAGGTTCAATCTCTTTTAGGTTGGATTTGAACATTCATCCCCGAACTTTCAGTCATGGTTATAGACCTATTGGAGTTGACTATATCCTGGATCGTTAAGGGGTGTAACCTTCACCCTGTGAACGGTTTACAAGTTTCTAAAACTTATTGGCGACTCTTTTGCTCTTGCTTCCTTCCCTTTGGACGCCACCATGCTTAAGTGTATGATTATAGTGGGGTTCAAGTTTTGGGTAATAATTTAAATAATCCCTACAGGTTTTGGCGACTCCAATGGGGAGGATTTCTATTTCAATTCCTGAAATTTATTGCGGCAATGATTTAGAATGAGTTGATGAGACTTGAAAAGTTCTAAGTATTTCATGTGCGTAATTTTTATTAACATTATTGTCATATGCATAAAAAAAATCTCATTGGAAAGACCATCCGTAATGAGTTAAAACATAGGATTTTTACACGTAGGAAATTTGAGGAATATCTTTCACAACTAGGATGGAAATAATGCTGCGAAAAACTGGAAAATTTTATGGAACACAGAAAATTGCTGAGGCATGTAGGAACTGGCATCTAGAAAATAGAGTATGTCACCGACGATATGATTCTGTCGCCAGGCAACAGAGCTATATTGCGGCGACGACCTCTGTTCGATGGCGCCAAGTTCTTCCAATACCGAGTCAGATATATGAGTTTAATTTCGATCATTTTAGCACTATTTGCTCAATTCTTCTTCCTGATTGAGTTTTTCTCACTTTTCTGAAACCCATATGTGTTCTACATATGGACATAACCCTCTGGGAATTCAGGCTTCATCTACCTGATTGAACGCTCTGTGCAACAAAGGGTACATCCGAGAATGTTGAATTCACCAAACCATGGAAGCGAGTTTTTAAGTCGCGGTATCCTATCTACTCGTGCCAAACCTTCAAAAGGTAAGTCTTCTGCGCGGTGCATCCGGACAAATAACCATGGACCCTCTTTGACTAACCCATATCCCAAACTTTAGAGAATTAGAGCCATGGTTAGGTTGCAAACTCATTGCATTATATTGTGCCTACTTGACTAATTGTGCATTATTTGTTGTGCATATTCTTTGTGTTTTTCCTAACCTTTTGTTTGACTTGTGTTTAAGCCTTAAATAAACTGATTAATGACTAAAAGGACTTTGTCTAATTAATTAATTAATTAATTAGAGTAATTAAAGTCTAATAATTTAATCGGAATTGACTTAGTACAACTTTAGGCATGTCCCGTAGAGTAAAAATACTGAAACCAGTCCCAAATTAATGCTCCAGTAATGGCGCCACAATTTAGGCTGCAGCGCCACACGCTGTTGTGCAATGCCGAGCGACATCTCTGTCGTCTGGCGCTGCACTGCAGAGTGCAGTGA